GACTCGGCATTGTTGTGTTCTACAACAATGCCGAGTATAATCAAATATAAGGTGACATTGTTGATGACGTCATTCTTTGAAGACGACGAAAATCATAAATTTTTATAGTAAGACTAGAGCAGAGCGCTCCTTTCGAAGCTCCTCGGGGGGTTGGTCGGTTTTAAAACGCTACCAATTCCCCTTCGGGGGTGTTGGTTGCTTTTTTAAAATCTTGAGAAAAAGAACTATACCAAACCCCCCGAATGGGGGGTTAAAATATTTGTCCCTTCGGGGAATTGGTCAAGTGTTTAAAACTCAACCATCCAACCCCCCTTTCAAGCGTAAAATAAATGTAATTCCATCATGGACACTATTATACTTTCAGCGAGAACAATACATTGAGACACAGTCCTTCGCCTGCGTGCATCGCTGTTGCAAATTATATATGCAAATTTATTACATTGTTGATGAAAATTGTGTTTAATTTTATAATACTTTCTTGACAGAAGAATATGTCTAAACTGTTTTTAAATGCAGGTGCCCCCCTCACAGAAATGATACAAACAGTGCTGACTTATATAATAGTTTTGCATACATACCTCTCGAAGCAACCTGCTTTTTCGCTCATTTTTTTGTAGTTTTCTGTTCTTTGTATTTAGTTTATATTCTTGTGCTGACTCCGTATTTGACTTTCGTTGCGGTTGAGTTAGAACGTTCATGTAAACGACTGAAATTAATTAGCACGTTCATAAAAAGGACTAAAATTAATTAAATTTCTTTTAAAGGAAAATTCTTAATATCTTAAACATACACAATTAGGTATAATAGAATCAAGCTCATATTAACTGCCGCGCTCTCTTTTTAATCAGATGAATCCACCTTAAACATACACAACAAGCTCATATTAAATGCTTTCTAATCAGAAGGATCCCCACCTTCTGAGGTCAGTTGTAATATATTTTTCTTTCAATATATCAATATTAACTTATAAATTAAATTAAATCATAACATCAGCAGTTTCTATTTTCTCCCCAGGCGCTTTCCATTCATAATCTTTGACCAGCTGATCGAAATATCGGAATAATTGGGATCAATGAACAGAAATAAGATTTGAAAGATGTTATCTTTGGAGTACAGTGAAAATCCATATGTGCTTATGACGTCACGTAACGTAAACTATTGCTACGGTAATCCTTTCCTAGGTCACCTTTGTGCAATAACATGTTCCATTGACTTGTTTCCACTGTTACGCAATAATGGCCTCCAGTCACTTCTGAATGGTTTCGTAATAGAAGGCTTAATTCAGACCCGCGGGGTATCATTAAATCAAGCGTTTCACTCATAAATACTTAAAATTTTAAGAGCGTAATTAAAATATTTAAATAAATGTGACATTTCCTTAAGAGCTAGTGCAGTGTAGTATAAAACAAAGCTAATCGACAGGGAGCAAACGGGACGGAATTGTAGCATAAATGTATTTTTCGAATCCAGTCGTTTGGCTAGAGTTCTGTTCCATAAATTAGCGATACGTTGCGATTTCAACCGTATTGTGAAGCCGAACGTCCGGAACACTACATCGAAAGTAACCGAACAGAACCGATCCGAATCGAATGGAATTTACTTTTTCTGTTGGATGCGCAAACTGGTAAGAACGCTTTCGAACAAAAGAACGTACTTAACATGGACGAGGTGAAATTAATTTTGAACGTGAGATAAAAAAACAATATGAGATCATCTGTCTGTCGTGTTTTCCCAAAGGCGACAGGCATCCTGCACAAAATCTCTTTGGTTATTTTTTTATTTAATATCCAAAAAAATGCATAAATTTTCTTCTGGGTCAAACAGTCATCGCCATACAGAACTATTGTTCTTTCGTTAAGCATAAAATCGGATTTGAAATCGGTTTTCTTCATTTATGAATTCTGCAGTGGAGCAGCAAGGTTAAACGCGTCACAGTTAGTATTCATCAGTACCCAAAAAGACAATGAAAATCAACTACGTTCAAATAATTGAAGTTTCATACTGTATATACCCGTCATCTTTAACAATTCTGTCAGCATCACTTTTAAGATACACCACGAATAAAACTGCCCTAACTATTTTACGTTCTTCCCAAAACCTTCAGTGCCGTATTATGTTTATAGAACCCTGAATCTTTCTATCTGATTCGTATCCTCCAACTTAATTCTCCAGCCTCACTCATGGCTTCCAAGCGAATGTTCAGAGACTTCCAAGCAGATGCAATCCACCGCGTCGTGTTTATCGTACTTTTAGAAGGAGAGGGAGTACGACCAGTCTATTTCTTAGCAAGGTCAACATGACTACATTTCAGTGCGATTCAATTCCCAGTTTGGCAGCTGCTGATCTATACGATAATCAATGACAGTTATGACTAAAATTTGATTTAAGGAAATAGCGTTTCAGCTAAAATAATTTATGGATCATTTTACATCAGTCAATTGTGGATAAGTATGGTAGTACTGTTCATTATGTTTCATATTTCAATTTTCTCCAAAGGATTTCCTATCACTGACTGCACTGAATTACTGAAGTCATGAAGTTAATCCTACTTTTATGGTAAAGTCTTATGGATATACCTGTAGCAACCAAAATAAACATAAGATGATAACCATAAAAACTAAGGCAGCCCTGGCAACTAAGATAACAATTGTAACTAAGGTAAACATACTGGGATACTAAGTGCCTGAGCACTGCGGGTCCCAACTTTTCGTAACATCCATGGCTTGAGTGGGATTCTAATCCACTGTCCCAATGACAAAGCGGAACAAGGCCCACGCCTTAGACCGCGCGGCTACTGTGACCCCAAAGTAAACATAGTAATTATTAGGACGGTTTAACCAAGTTACTATGATAGCCAATGTAACCAAGGTCCAAGGCTGGAAGGAAACCCCATGTGGAAATCCCCTTTGTGGGCCACGTACCCAACAGCGACGGCGATGCCCTTATGGATCGGGGGCTAACCAGTGTAAGAGAGCCCCAAGAGTGGCAATATGTCTCATAGGGTCCAGACGAATCTGGGTCAGATTAGGTTGGATTAGACTTCTTTACGTTTGGTTACGTGTTGGTTTAGCGTATTTACGATGAGGGTGGTTATGTAAGACTGAGAGCTAGACGCATTTTAAATAAAATGTGAACGTAAGTGGAAAATTTGAATATTTAATATATATATCCAGTCACGTCCATTTTAACTTTTAAAAAATTCTGAAGCTTTGCAATCATTGTTAACAAATCAGTGTATGCGCCGTACTTCTGACACCAAGCATACACGTAATATTCTCACTCTCTACAGCATATGTAAAGGAACAATGATACTTCCTTAGAAGCTCTGAACTTGACGAAATATCGGTTTATTTAACCATGATGTTTACATTTTATACGCTTTGTAGCGTCAAGCTGTAGAAATGTATTAGAAGCTGTTGTGACTGTTTTAAGGTTCTGCCGCAACATTTTTAGAGGCTGTATGTAGCCAACCTCCTTGCCTAAATTCGAAACAGATAAATTAAAAAACATTAATTACAACCCTTTATCAACACGTTCCCTTGTAACATAAATGCACCATCTCTACAAATTTACGATATCTACTCAAAACGTTTCAACGGTATACCATCATTCTGAAAAAAAAAAGAGAAAAAAAAGAGCCATTTACATACGAGGTGCGATCGGAAAGTTTCGAGACTGCGCCTATACTTATCTCAGGTATTAAATTCATCCATCTCCCTCGAAGTAGTTCCCCTGGGAGTGAACACA